GGGGGGGGGGGGGGGGCAGTGAACAAAGATGCGATTGGTGGGTAGGACGAGTGGGCGGAGTCTGGCAGGCAACATCACGGGATGTCGAACGAGCTCGAGAGCACACCCCAAACAAAATAACACAGAACATCACATAACACAGCGTCCACTCCAGAATTACTACTGAGACAGGATTAACTAACATGTGATCACCATGGGAGTGTCTCCAGCTGTATATTTTCTGTCTCTGACTGTTAACCATCATCAAAAACATGATTCAAGTTTTGTAAATTATAATCATTATGTGTCCAAGCCCAATATGTACACTGCCAGTCAAACCATTAAAGCACCATTTATTATTAACCTGTAAGCAAAAGAAATAGAACACATTTGTCTTACGGTTATGCGATCTAGCCACAGTTTATTTTTAATTTAATGTTTTGGGCTTTTTTTGCCTTTAATTGGATAGTGACAAAGCTGAAGATTAATGGGACAAGGGGGAGAGAGAGGGGGGATGACACTCAGCAAAGCGCCACAGGTTGGATTCGAACTCAGCCTTTCGCTGCCAGCTGTACCAGCTGAGCTATCCCAGCGTCCCACAGTCTATCCATTTTTATATATAATATATAATAATATAAGCTGAGCTGGTGGACCTTTTCAAGCAATCATTAAGACTCTCTTTACAACATGCAAGCTTGTTAATTAATATGTCAACAATCAGAGTTTTAGCAGGCACATTCAGCTCAAAAACTGAGAAAAGAAATCACACTATTATTATGCGGAAGAATAAGAAAGGTCCTTATCTTAACGGGAAAAGTGCCAAGAAACATGACGTGTCTGTTGTTTACACTATCGACAGACCTAGAATGACTACTAAATGAAAAACTTACTTGTTAAGGGCTTTCTGTGTGTGAAAGAGAAGGCTATATACAGGAAGTCAAGGTTTACTTCAAATGTGTAGAGAAGAGTTTTGGAGCTAGGGCTAGAGGGTTAAAGCCTTTATTAATGCATTACAACAGAGTTCATTGGACTTTAAAAACATAAATAAAAAACATAGATAAAAATGTCTTGTGGACATGTTTGGGATTTGTAGTTTATCAGGCCTTCGACTTTACATTTTAGTCATTTCCAATGTAATAGAAAACAATTCCCATTTTGCTTCCTGCATTTTTGTGTAGCCCAGAAATCCTAGCCTGGTGTAAAACATTTGACTGGAAGTATACACATGATACGATGGCTGAATGATCTCCTTGTAATGTCCCCTTTCAGTAAAGACATTTATGATTTTAAATTACATGATGTTCCTCTGCTACAGTGAGTTTTTGGAGTGGAGTCAGTGTAAACAAGTGTTGCTGCTCTCATAGCTGAGGTGGAAGACATGCAGAAAAACACTGTGACCACTCAAGCAAGCGTTATTATTATATTATCAAAACTCTGACTGCAGATAACCACAACCACACCTAATAAAACGCAGACTCAGTTACCACCAGTTTTTGCAAATTGTGCAAACCACACTGTGACGACTCGAGGTGTCTGGGTAATTTCAGCGCCTGGCTCCGACATAAATCAAAAAGTCAACTAGGTTATTAAGAGAATTTTTTGCGGCAAGTCTCGAGAGATTTCTCAAGAGAGACAGAGTGTTACATATTTCCTCAAAAATGCAACTGAAGTTACCCAGAGAGATTTTCTGTGCTGTGAATCACACCTCTACTGAAAATCTTACCACATATATAATACCTCATTATCCTCTGAGTGCAGTATCTCAGCTACCTCATTGTCCTCTTCAGTGGCATTTCTGACTGTCATAAACTTGTAATCTACATAATCATCCTTGGGTACCTCTTCAGGCTCCTCTGATATTACTGCATCCTGCTCAACCTCCGAATTTGTTGACTTGGCCTGGTTTGAACTCTCACTGACTACTGAATGTGTTTCTTCTTCAGCGAGTTCCTATGAAAAGGGTTTATAGCAGTTCTTTGAAAGAAAGATCAGTGAGCGACTCGAGGATTGTGCATTAAGAAGTCGATAAATCAATGACCATACCTTGTTTTGAATTTTAGGTTCTTCAGTTGATTCCTACAGAAACAAGCATCACATTTGTAGGGACTGTGAGCTACAAATAAATACAATAAATGGCTCAAATAAATAAGCAAGAATAAGCAGGGGACTCACCTGTTCTCTCAAGTAAGACCTCCTCGGTTTGTCCTCCAACACCTCCACTTTCTGCTCCTCCTCTTCATCTACACCCTCCTCTGGTTCCTCTTCACCCTCAGGAGCAGCCTCTTCTTCCTCCCTCGGCTCCTCTTGCTCCTTCTCCTCTCTCCTTGAGCGGTATGTCTCCGTCTTCTCCTCTTCATCCTCATTGTCACGGTAGCGACCCCGACGCCAGGAGGATGGCCTCTCCTCTTCTGCACTGTCTTTCTCCGTGGCGACGCTGTCGTTGCCCTCGGTCGCAGTGGGGTCCAGCTGCCTCTGTCTCTCCAGCGCCTCCTTCATGCGTCTCAGCCGTCTCTCCTCGCGCTTGGCCATGCGCTCCTGCAGGGCTTGGTCATCGTCGTCTCCACCACCTCCTCCGTAGGAGCTGCTCACAGTCTCTGTCACACTAGGGGGAGAGAGAGGAGACAAACATTTCACTGTGTGCTCTTTTGTTAATGAGGAAGAAGCATTGAGGCCGGAGCAACAGACGTCAGCTGTTAATAAAACGTGGGCAGGGAAACTGAATGCATAATTCTATCTCCTGTGACCACTGAGACGCCCTTGATCGAGACCTATAACCCCTAACAGCTTTATAATTTAGAGGCAGGAGACATTTAGGTGGTCAGATTTGGCTGAGAACAGTTAATATGCAGCAGGGATATGCTGAATGAGCATAAGATAAGGACAAGACAAAAAAGGCAAAATTGACCGACTTGGGACTAGATCTCCAACATGACACACAATAAAAAATGACAGAAAAGACAAAATTCCTGAAACTCAACAAAAGCAGATGCACAGTAAGCCTTCTTGAATAATCAACTGACTGACTGTGACTTACACTGGTCACTGTTGCCAAAGAAACGGGTTAAAAGAGCACCAGTGTGACCAAACTTTCTTTGGGTTGCAAAAAATACAAAAATGAAATACAGTGAAAGGAAATCAAAGTTTACAGAGAGTGGCTGCCACGTTATTGTCGGCTCTATAGCCAGTATGTGCAGTATGCTGGCTATTGGCTGCACTGACATGTCTTCACCACAGATATTCTTTTAAAATAAACCATTGGTCAGGCATTAAAATAAACAGAAAATCAGTAAGATTCTCGTGGATTTCAGGTCTGGAGTTCATTTTTTATCCTTGACTAATAGTTTGACAATAGCTCTTGTGTCAGTCAGATAGCAGCTATACCTACAGAGTCTACAGCCACGCTAGCAGCTCTGCTGTAGGCGCAGCTGGGCTTTGAGCTAAATGCTAACATCAGCATGCTATCATGCTCACAATAACAACTATAACATGCGATGTTGATGTAGCGGGTATAATTTTTACCATGTTCACCATCATGCACATGTAAGCATGCTAACATCTGCTAATTGGTAGTAAACGTACAGCTGAGGCTGATGGGAATATTGGACGGACCTGATGATGTCGCTAGATAGATACACAGAGGATCATCAAAGTTACTGCCGTTCACCCTGAGGGGAACATGAATATCTAGGCCTAATTCTGTTGCAATCGATCCAACCGTTGCAGAGATATTTCACCTTAAAACATAAACGTGAACCTCATGTTGGTGCTAGGAGAAAAGTCAAAGAATTACCAAAGTTAGTAGGACTAATCCTCTGGGGAACACGAATGTCTGTTAACAATATCATGCAATCTAACCAATAGTTGTTATTATATAATTGTGGACCACTACCGACTGTCTAGCTGATTGACCACATGGCTGAAAACGATGTATTTATTATATATCGTTTTCAGAAAACCAAATACCAACTGCATGTCCTTCCACCTCGCCCCTGATAGCATGACTCATAATATTCTGACCTAAAAGTCTGGCAAACATTATCCTTGCATCTACACAATCAACAATGGCTAGTCAACACTAGGTTCTGTCTCAGCATCCTCCTGCACAATCCCCCTGTTGTTTGACTGGCCCAGGATGTACCTCTGAGCTCATAGAGAGGAAACATTCATGACCACAAAGCAGTGTCTGTGCTGCTAGATGTCAGAGCAACCCACCACTTCCACTGTGGCCAAGACGATTGATCTCACAGTCTTAAACTGCACAGAAATGGGTATTTGGCCCCTTTGTTCCTGTGTGTCAGTCTTTTTGATGGATAGGTATGAGATCATAAGTTGGTTGTCATATTGACAGCTGGGAATGGGTAGAAAGTGGAGTTCAGTTCTTGCATGGGTTGAAAAGAAATAATGGTATGAAAAAAGCCACTACTGAATTCCATCATTCAACACCTGACAGTATTGCAATATTATGTCAGTTTAGCCACCATAACTAGGCAGAGCAAGCTGCCAAGTTTAAGATTTCTCTGCATTTTAAAATTGGTGGACATGTGGCTTCAGTAACCGCAATACTCTACAGATTGTGGAGGATGATGTCTTTTTAAAAAAAAACCTAAACCCAAAACACAAGAGCAAAAGATGTAAAGAATGGATTAAAAAGTGTGTTTATCTGCTCTAATGTAAGATGCAAATGTTAGCACGTCCGGCTAAGTAGCTTACTACTTATAGTAGTTAACATGCCAATGAGTATGGAGCCACCACAACAACATGGAGCACCACAACTGCCAAAATCAAAAATAAATAAATTACCGATTAGATCCATTAACAGGCCATTAAATGCACACACACACACACACACACACAAATGAATAAATATAGTAATGAATTAGTTTATAAAATACGACAAAATTTGAAATTTATTTTCTAATTTGCTTCTGTATTTATTCACCTTTGTATTAATTCCCCTATTTATTTACTTTACCATTTAATTTTCTATTTATTCATCAATTTATACTTTCGTACTTATTTCTGAATTATCTTCCCTTTGCATTTTCACTCCTATTTACCCAAACCATCTATTTATATTTTTTCTTTGTGACATGTGGTCAACTTTTTGCTTACTGGTGATCAACATCAGCGTGCAAGGATTGACTTACCTCGCTCCCACCACACACACTGGCCACTGAGACACTGTTGTACCGAGGTGATTAAACATTACAGCGGCTCTGAGCAGGACTCTGATGTGGATCATATTTTATGGAGAAAACATTTTCTGGTTTTCCCTCTGATGTGCTCCGACTGCTCTGCCTCAACTCTTGTGATTTACGAACATTACATCTGTTGTGTAGTATTTCCCCGCTGTGTGGAAGCTACCAGATTTTAGGGGTATTAATGTTAGCATCTGTCCTGTTCTTCCTCCTCTTGCTCCTCTCTTAGATTTGGGGAAGTTTACATTCCAGCAACCCCAGCCAATGTTTCCTGAGATACCTGTGATGTTACATTAGCCAGACACATCGGTTCATTTCCATCTTTTCCTGTAATCTTAGAAGTGAAAACATAATGTCTGAAAATACGAAGCTATACAAAGCTATGTATTTAAGCTAAGCAGCCAAACAAGGTCATATTAGAAAAAAATAAGTCTGAATTTCTCTTTTATCATGAGTGCAGCTATCGAGTGCATATTTAAAACAACTTTATAGAGTGTTCATTGTAAAACGAGTCAGAAACATTAAAAAGTCAGCTGGAGAGCAAATATTCAACCAACTTATGGCACTAACCGTAGCTACGTAGCAACAGCTAATAATATTTACCAGAAATAGTTATATCAAGCAGCACAACTGCATTACAGCTTGCCAGCTAGAAATGAAAATGCTTCCTATAATTGTGCTGTGCATGAACACAAAGTTTGACATACAGTGGAACAGTAACTGAGAGCTTTGCTGAGTTTTATGATTTTAAGATTGAAAGTGGACACTCCCACTTCCCAGAAGTCTTTAAAATATCTGCAACCCTACAATATGCTGTATTCTTCTTACAGCAGAGGTTGTGAAAGAATTTTTGGTGGCATTTTTCTGAGTTGTCCTGACATTTTTCACACAGAAAAGGGACTCAACGTTGATTATATATTGATGAAGTACAACCCCTTTAACTGGGCAGGATGACATGACAGTGACAGTTTTTTCTCACTCTCTCCTGTTTCTCTTGAGTCTCTTCAGCTGGACTAAAAATTAGGAGCTAAGCCGCTGATATATTTGTCACAGACAGAACCAGTGTTGCTATATATGTGTCACCTGTGGCTGTTGGTCATGACCAGACTGTCCGGTTGTCCACTGGACTCTTCACTCTCCCTGCTCATCAGCCTCTCCTGGCGTGCCCTGCGCCTCCTCTCGCGGGCTGCCTCCTCCTCATCATCATCATTCCTTGCCAACCTAAGGGAGAAAAAAAAAGAAGAAGGAGAAAGGGTGAGGCAACAAAGAGAGACATTTTCAACCCTTCATTTCCTTCTCCCCTTCCTCAATTTAGCTTCATGGTAAGAAACTTCCAAGTGAACGATTCTTTAAATTGGACTGTAATCACAGCGACCAAACCTGGAGGATTTGTCCAGAGTTTTTTTATTTTTTATTCTCTCCTATCAAGCTGACCTGTCAGCTGTGCAACAACCAATACTTCTTATCGAGGCTGCAGTTTTCACGAGCTGATAAAAACTCTGTCTGGAGACATGGCTTGGCTGCGGATAAGAGAGAGCCAGAGAAACTGTGCTTGTACTCTGTTCAGTGTTGGAACAGAGAAAACTGAAGAGGTGTGTGCTTATGAGTGAGTAAAACAACCACTTGCCTTATAAGTTATTATTTCTACAAGGAATTTAATACCACAAAAAAAGAAATCAAATTTTTTAACAAACTGAAATTAAAATATCTCTTGTGTAACTAAGATATTCCTTCTTAGATAATGCCTCTTATTTGAATGCGATTCTTTACACAAGCTCACTTTCACCCTTTAATATTTTAACAGTGTGACACAGTTCCCTTTTGGTGGTGTTTTCTTACTACTACGCATAACTGGTCAAGCATGCAACAGATAAAGCAAGGTCAAGTCAGGTCATGTCTAAAATATTATGTAAAAATCTTTTTTTTTTTCTTTTTACATTTACACAAGACAAGTGCTTCTTTCTTGTCTCTAAATGTTGCCCTGCCATTAACAGGGATAAATCACACAAAAAACAATGCCAAGATCTACAAAACGCCCATATCCTTAATAGAGCAAAATCCAAAGCAGACATGCAGTGGATTATGTATGTCTTTATTAAATGCAGTGGTTTAAGTAAAGGGTGCGGCTGCATGCAATCATCAACACAACTCCATTGTTCACAATCTAGTTGGCTAGTGAGCTACTGTATATTTATGTGCTTAAATTTGATTGAAAGCTACAAGTTGAGGCCTTTCTCTGGGGCCGGTCCAAAGTTGTTCTGAGAATTTCAGGAAATCTAACTGAAATAGAAGTAGACAGGTTGAGAGAAAGAGGCTACACCCAAAAAGTAAATTTGACGCCGTACTAAAAATTAAAGCATTATAAACTGAGAAGTGCAATACTACCAAAGGCAGAATTTCCCCAAATCAGTTCCTAAACTGCTTTGTTTCTGGCTACCTGACATCTCTGAACCCTGCTCCATGCTTGATCTGTGTTGCCCTGACTGACCTTTACACTCCCACTGCTTACCACATGCCCAGCTACCTAACATCACAGCGCAGCCTTTGAGGTCAACCAGCGAAGCGTGCTATTGCATGTTAATTGCAACATGTGTGGTGAGCCGAGCTAAAGCTGCTTGGGTTTATGTTTTAGGTTTTACAGCTTGTGAACAACAGTTTCCTTCTTCCTTTCCTTCCCCTCGGCTGTTCCCCACGCCTCCCGTTTCTTTCTCTCAGATGAGGAATGTTGTCATAACAGAACCGATGAATCTGTTAACGCCCAAGCTGGGCCTATAGGGAGGGTGACATCAGTGACGTCAGGCAATGCTTTGCACATGTGCATGTGTGTGTGCTTAATTCCGACAACTCAGCATCCTTAAATGTAAAAAAAAGTCTATTCCAAATTTGTTTTATTATATAATGGTAAACCCTAAAATGTAGCATAACAAAGCACAAGTAGAGAAGAGTCATAAAGTCAACAAACTGACCGGATTGAGTGGCATCTAGCGGTGTACTCGCTGATTGCGATGCCCTCGCCTCACCCTCTCATTCTGTGTAGGAGAAACTACGGTGGCCACGAAGCTAAGGGCAACAGTTGTTTTGTTTGCCCGTTCAAAGCTACTGTAGAAACAAGGCGGTTCAAGATGGTGGACTCCCTAGAAAAAGACCCGCTCACTCTGTAGACTCCAAGAAACGGCGTATTTTAAGCAAAGAAAAAAAAACAATTCTTATTATCAGGGGATTATAGACTAATGACAACATACCTATGGATATTGTATTCCATTTCTGCTCATAGATCCTCCTGAATGTTCCACACTGCGCCTTTAAGTTTGCAAACATTAGCTAACATTAGCCAGAATTAGTTAATGGTCATACCAGACCAAGCAAGGCTGTAGCAAAAACCCCTGTGAGTAAGTGAGCAAGGGTGTGTTTTATTGCTTAAGAATTCAACTATTATTTGTAAGAGGAAGAATGTGTTATTTAGTCTTTCAAAAGTTAAACAGTCTTGCTTTAAATAATTATTTTTTTCAACAAATCTTAGTTTTTCTCAAATTCTCATTCATATTCTGTCAACTTCAATTAAGTTCCCCTGCAGTCAAAAGTATATTAACTCTTATTTAAAATGTCAGAGTGATATGTTGTTTTTGTTATAAAAAAAACTTGCGAAACTACTGCCTTAACTCCCAAAGGACTGCGCCATCCCAGAAACAGCACCAAATGTCATGAGAAAGAGAAAACGTCAACAGCTAAAAATGGAACAAAAGAGTCCTTGGTGGCGGTGACGACGACAATCTCAGGGTTAAAGATTCCTCAGTAGGAGAGAAGAATAAACTCCTAAAAGCTGAATTAGCATTCCTGTCAATCACAGCCTTGGCTAGAGACGCATACACACAACCAAAGCCCTGATTTAATATCCCCTTCTCCTTACCTTGGCCCCAAACTCTATCAGCGTACTGACACAGAAATATGGGGAGAGGTGGAAGGGGAAGGGGAAAAAAAGGAGAGAAAAAGAAAAAGCAAGTAAAATGGAGAGCTAGGATAAAGAGAAGTGGGATATGAAAAACGGGAAAGGAAAGGGCGTGCACAATAATGGAAAAAGTAGTAATCTGCAGATTTTATCATATATGACACCTTTTCCTGCACAGAATCATGTGTAGCCGCGGTCATAAACTCAGGTATGAGCTTCTGTCAGAATATATGCAACCGATGCCCTTTTCTTGGGTGGCCGAGTACAATATGTAAGGAAAGTACACTTGTGACTGATAGCTAATATGGACCCTACTCACTTAGTTTCACACGTGGCAGCTATGATGCAGCTGAAGAGGAAATAAAAGGTCTTGTTACACATGTGCATGAATTCCTCATTTTCCTCCGTTTTTTTTCACATGCAACATAGTACAGTAAAGCTGATTTAAGCAAGATTTTGCACTCACAAAGCAACTGTCTGCACAGGCACACAAAACATTGCCATCAGCGAGCCTATTAGGGAGAAATATGTCCAAATATTTTCTTTACAGCGAAATATCTCAGAAATGTCAGTGAAAACAATTTGGGAAAAGCCCATGAGAAAAGACTTCTTCACCCCTCCTCAAGAGGAGAGGGAGACAGGGCAGGGAGGGAGAAGAATAAAGAGGAAGATAGAAAAGAAAAGCTGCTGTGAATGGAGGGGAGGGGAGGAAGGGATGGAGAGAGAGAGAGAGAGAGAGAGGGAAAGAGGGTGGGGGCTCTGCTTACGCTGTCAGAAATGCTGACCCATTCCCACGCTGGCCTCTCTGGACTATTTCTCTTCCTACCGCTGGCCCAAAGAACCACAACGTACCCCGTCTGTCTCTCTTCCCCACCCTGCTCTCTGCTGGGCCAGCTCCAAGAATACACTATGTTAGCGGTGATAGAATTCCCCTAGACTGCATTTATTCTTGAATCAATGAGGCAGTATAGCATGAATATAAAACTGAAATATAAAAATGTATGCTTCTACTGGAGAGCAAAAGAGGAAGACGAGGCTTAACAAAAAATCCACAACAATGGCTGAACTCCTTTCCAAGCTGATGTGGTAAGTTAGAAGTTGACATACGTGGCTCAACCTCTCCCTCCCTATCACTTTATCTGTACGATGATGCAGGACCGGGTCATGTTCGGAGCGGTCCATTCACCCAGGACAGGGATTGTTTGGCATGGCTCATTCACGGAGGATGGGTGTTATTTCCTCGGCTCTTCCTGGTCTCTCGGTGGGAGGGGCCAGCACAGATGTTAAGAATGAAGAGGAGGAAGAGGAGGATGGTGGAGAGAGAGAAAGAGGAATTCAGTGCAGGAGGTTGTACATTCTAAAATGTAAGTGGAAGAACAGGATCAAAAAAGAGAAGCAAGGGGGAGATGAGAAGAAGGAAAATGTAAACGTAAGAGGAGAAAGAGGAGGAGATTTGGATAGAGTGAGAAAAAAGAGGGGAAGAATAAGGAGAAGCATGGGTTGAAAATGAAACCGGAAAAAGATGAGGAAAAGGACAAGGGCAAGGGGGGGATGAGAAGGAGAGGAAAGACAATGACACCCAGGGGAGAATAAGAAAGAAGGATGAGGAGGACTGGTATATGACAAGAAAGGAGGAGCAGGAGGAGGGGACAGAGGGAAATGGCAAAAATAAACACTTCCAAAAAAGGACATTAAAGAAGAAATACAAAGTCTTTTCTAAACTCAACATCGCACATATAACCAAACCCTAAATAGGTTACATTCAACACACAGGAACATTTGGGGATTATTCGCTTTTTTTGCTGAGAGTTAGACGAGAAATATGAAGCTACAGCCAAGAGACGGTTAGCTTAGCATAAAGACTGAAAGAAGGGGATTTAAACAGCACAAAAACCAAAGTGGTGATTATACTGGAGGTCATGGGAGGGACTATTTTGTCTTGGCCAGGTGCAGTAAATACAGCGGTATTAAACTTCTTATCTAACTCCCAGCAAGCAGTCGAAGTACACCTTTAATTGTTTACCATACACCAGTGATGACTCACTATTGTGGTCGTGCAGAATTTCTATCTATGTGCAATGTATACATATTCTGTTGAGGCTAAGCCTGGGACAATGACCTGCTCCAGCTGCATTTACTTTTTTTTTGTAAACTATGCATACTATCACTGTTATAAAAGATTACAAAAGACTATTTTTAGCCAAAGCAGATAGGCTCTGGTCACTAAATTGACTGGGAAAATTCCACATCCATGAGCTCTATTCGGGGGAAAAAAGAGCAGTTGAGACATTCCTGGGTGACAGTGTTTCATTGAACAGAAACGTACAGGAACATTGATGAGCAGCATGATAGTGTGAGAAACTTCAGCAGAGCAGAAAACTATGTGTGTGTGCGTGCGTGTGTGTGGCTTTACTAAATACAACTACAAGTGAATTGAAGCCCACTGCGCTCCTCTATGTCAACAATCATATTCTTACAACTATAACTGAGGCTGATGTAAGACAGAACAGGGAAGTCTTGGCTGTTCTTCCTCCACACACACACACACACACACACACACACACTTGTACACATGCACTAACTTGTAGTTTTTGTCAAACCTGATACCGATCCAAACTCACATTCTCACTAAAGCGAACACCAACATGGTTAACTGACTGCATGCACTCATCCTAACCTGTATGCACACACACTAACATGCACATGATAGCACGTGCACACCCCAGGATGAGCACAGTTACACAGACTATGGGACACACACACACACACACACAAAAGACATTTCACAAGCACACACAGTCCCTCACACACAGACAATCTCACTGTTCCAGCATGTAGGAAACAGCTCATGGAGACCTGGCCAGTAAACACTTATAATAGCCAGGAATTTGGCATTCCTACAGCCGTTATTATATGGTCCCACACTCTCCCTGCGCTCTCCGTCTTCTCACAGCATGCTCAGTAATGGTTGAATGGAAGCAAGCCAATAAGACAACATGTGGTTTTGACTAGTCCAACCAAGAGGGGCATGTAAATATTGATTGTTTCAATATATTGGCAGAAATGGAAACAATGTAGAGATGTAATCTTTTATCAATAACAGGAGCGGCATGTCGCCTGCCAGCTGAAATTATTGCTGCTCGGACCAAATAAACAGTCATGAACAAACTCCCGCCGAGCTGAAAATGTAAATGTCGAAGGCGCTTACGACTCCTACTCTTTTTCGCTCTTGGTCCATTTCTCTCTCAGTCAGTCATTCCTCATCTCTTCCCACTGTCGGCTCTTCTTAGTCTACAGTTTCTGCCAAATTCCATCTTCTCCATGTAACATAAACACTCCAAAACTGCATAAATAATTCGAGCAGCAGGGGGTTTATCGGGGGTTCTAAGCCATGAAACATAACAACAGTATTAACCTTTACTTCTATCGGCTATTTAGAGTGCATCTGGGGAAATGAGGCATAAACGTCTAAAAGATGTAAAAGCGAAAAGATGCCAAGAAGGGGAACATAGCATAACTGTTACACAATGTCAAAATGTACAGGATCTTTATGATACCAAAGGCTGTAGATAAAGTAGCTACGGAAGTAGTAATGTGTTTGAGTAAGTTGGTCATATTTCATTAGTTTACCACACTTCCTGGAATTACTGGCGATATAGGGCGATAGCAATAATGATATTATTGTTGAAGATAATAGCTTGTTAATACAAAAACAAACAAATTTTTTTTTTTAAAGGATCCCTTAAATTAGATTATTAAAGTTGCACTAAGCAATATTTATTTGTATTAGCAATAGATCAAATGACTGTGTGACTCTGAAGTTCTCCTTAGCTCAACAGAGCGTTTTAGCGTCTTTTAGCTCACTGTTTTGGTTTTAGTTCTCTGCTCCCATTGACTTAAGTTCTGTTTCAATTAAAAAAAAAGGTCTGATAAACTCAACAAGGAGGGCAGACACAATTAACAACTATCAAGTTAGCAAATAGTATTTAGCAGCTAAAGAGTTTAAGAGCTATTTCCCTCAAGGGTGGTGGAGACTAAAACAGAGGTAAAAGCAGACAACATTCAGTATACTAGGCATTTCTGCATTGCAGTTGCTTGTTGCCGACATGCCAATACCATAAATCTTTGATAAGCTATTGAGCTATGCTTTTGGCCATGTAGATGTATCAGTCTGACTTGATTCACTACCTAAAATAACTAAGTTCAATTTCATATAAACCTAGCACCATTCATACAACACACGCAAGCTGGCAGGCACTTTATTTTGTAATGCCTGGATAAATGGCTTAACCCTGAGTTTTATTACCTAGTGTATGTCCTTCACCATTGTGGATGATGTGCACTGTTTTGCAGACTTTCCTTTATACGAGAAATGCTATTTTACCTTGAGCAAACGGCCTTGTTCATGGCTTAAAGTAAATGCTACTCACGTATTTTTTTGTGTCATAAAAAAGAATTATCAGACAGAAACATCTATGTATTCAGCAGTGGTCAGACCTATGTCAAGGTGTTTTTCATCGGTGATGGAGTAACTGGCTCTAATAAAACTCTTCTCACAGATACATCAAACAGGCAAGTGACCTTGGCCAGTATCTGCATCCACATCACCCTCATCCTTAATTGGAAGAGCTGTAGCACAGATGAAGAGACTTTTGTGAAAAGACCCAATGAAATACCTCCTTGGCACACTGTGTATCAAGTTCTCACAATGAAACTACCTTTTTACTATTTTTGATTACTGCACTTGGCGTGTTACCACTCTCTCAATTTGTTGAAATGAACACTAGTTTAATCAATTTCTTCCATTGAATCAAAGAGAGTTCACAAGGCCACAGTATCTGGGAGAGAAAATTGGAAAGAGGGAGGGAGGGCATGATTGAACATTCCCACTTAAAGGTCATCACATTGCTTATCAGACTTCTTATCAAGCTTTTTTTCTTGTAGCCTGGGTCGGGAGGCCAATATTTGCTGAGTAATGTTTTTAAAGACCTAGAGGAGGGTCTAAGCTATTAAAGCTGGCTCCCTCCAGTTCCAACTTGGCATGAACATCAGAGGAGGTGCACTGTGCATTGACAATGAGAGCTCAATACACAACACAGGCTGCTCCCTCAGCTTCACACAACCTGGGTACTAAGATCTTCGGTGACAGCAGCGTAGCTGCCTCTGGACTGCAGGCGTTCTGTGGCTTCAACTGCAAATGAAGCCATTGTGGAGGACTGACTTTTTAAACACTTTCTGCTTTGCAAGGGAATTAGCTGGAAAATCCTGGAGTACTAATCTGCAGACGAGAACGAAAGACAACCAAATGAGTCTCACCGTTCGGCCTCCAGGCGCATCTCCTCCCGCTTCTGCCTCCTCAGCTCCCGGCGCCGCTCAAAGTCCATTTCCTCCATGATTGTGCCCTGAGGGATGACATCAGCAAACACAGACATGTTCATTTACTCAATTTCAGGAAGGAAGAGAGGAAAGGAAGATGGAAACACATTAATTTTAGTGTCCTGAGAGGGCAGAAATACAGGTTCACCAGTCAAACAAAGTTTTCATTTTTTTGACATCTGGTTATCAAAGTACCGTATTATAATCCTAAAGATTCTAAATCTAACCCTGTTTTTATGTGGCAAAACATGCGGTGGCTTTTATTGTGAAGCAGGAAACACATTGTATTTGTGACCACAGTTAGTGCAAACAGCAATCATTCATCAAAACTGCATCCACAAAACAAGATGGTCATTTTGGGTGTTTTTTCACCAGCGTTTCAGCATTTTTTCAAGGAACAAGAACAGTTGAGTAGCTGCTCAAACAGTGTTTGCTGTCGTATTTAAACTTGCTGTTACCACCTGTAAACACGGCTGTCGCCAAATCCACCGGGACTTAAATCTTAAGGATTATCACTTCAGTACAATCCATCCTTCTACACACAATACTGACCAGAAGTGTGACAAAAGCTTGGCTGAAACCTATGCCCACAAACTTTGTGTGGAAAAAACAGAGGAATGAGGCAGAAAGAAAGAAGAGCAGAGACAGAAAGAGAGAGGAAGGAGAAGCCAAGACAGGATGTTAACTCAATCAGTTAAAAGCAACCCTCACTAAAAATACCCCGCTAGGGTACGTGACAGGCTGTGCAGTGAGGACCGAGACCACCCAGGAGCTGCTGAGCCTCCCATCATACATCTACGTATCCCCGCTAAACCACCAGCAACATCTACTGTACACCGGAGCAGAGTAAACAGACGCTAGCTGAGCACTTGAGGGGAAAAAGACGAAGGTGCATGACAGCACGCGGAATAAAGAGACAGCACTGAATAAAGTCATATTTAAATATGTTATCCTTTGTGGTGATACAACATAAGTAGGAACGCAACTGTGACAGAAAATAAGATGCTTTAAAGTGCAGTAGGACAAAGGAAGAACTGGGACTGTCATACCTTGAATTAGCCTTCAAACAGTGTGTTTCCCTTCACACCATACCAGCTTTTGACAATGCCCTCTCCAAGCAGAGACACAATGCAACGTCTGGTAATAGTCTCCCACAGTCCGGCCTCAGCTGACAGAAAAAGCAAATGCCTGTTCCTTCCCCTCCCTGCTAGTTGTCCCTCCCTCCATCCCTCAGTGACCTCCTTCCTTCTTTCCCTCAGTCTTACCCCCCCCACTCCCTCCTCCTCCTCCTCCTCCTCCTCTCCCTATCTCTACTGCTAGCATTTCCTGTGTTGTTTACCTACATGTGAGAGCTTGGCCAAACTCTGTTCTAGGACATGACTCTGCACTTGAGATCAGCTTCCTGTGTGTTATAAGCATGTTTCCTGCCTGCTTTTGCTTTAATCTGCAGTCGCATACAAGAGGGTGGGGCGGGATGGACATCTGTATATGAGTATGCACGCAGGCATGTAGGTGCGACATCACAGCATTTGTGTGCATGCTTTAACACTCACATGCATACTCATGAGCACACACAGATGTCCCCATAGGCAGGAACACACAAAGACAGGAGGGAAAGGATAAAAGAAACCATGACTCCAAGGGACCCTCCTAACCTTCACCCTCCCACTGCGTCTCGTCTCCCCTCCCGTGAGCGTGTAGAGTAAACACACAGCCTGGTCTCCCCGCTATTACACTGTAAATGCCTCTGTGACTCAGAGGAGGGAGAGATATTTTAAATACTGCAAAAATGCACTCTCTATGTTTAGATGCGCGCTTAGTGTCATTTGTGAAATGGGGGGGGAGGCAATTGGCACTTGGTTGTGGGGCTATTCATACAACCGTAATTAAGACAAAATGAGAGCAATAACTAAAACCGACAAGGCCTCCAAACATCACCAGTCTAATCACATACTTCCTAGAACCAGCGACGCCAAGGGAGACAAAGTTATTAGTAACGCAAGCACGGCAGCATATAAATTTGGAGCTATTGTTGCAAATAATGCATGATTTATGCAGCTGAGAAGACTGTCTTCATTCAGTGTTCAGTTTTGTATAAAAATTAGTTATAGATCATTTAAAAAGACGTCTTCAAAATAAAAGGTTTGTCAACAAAATTATCACGGAGTGGATCATATACACAATATTCGACACGAATGACAAACCTGAGAGTTATATTTTCCAAGTTGATATATGCTACATTCATGATGTATGAATAGAGCTGGTCAATGAATGCGAGACTGAATGCAGCACAGTCACATTGTCTTGTCTCCACATGGGAGAGTACCAGGCGTAGGACAGAAGAGGAAGCCTGTGGCTTGTAGAAAAGGCCCTCAGTGCGACGTAGAAATGTAACTGTTGTGTATATCACTGAAGAGACCACCCACACTTTGCAAAAGCTAACAGAGGCAGAAACGAGAGAAAGGCAGCATTCCATAAAGTTGAGCAACCTGGAGTCACAAGTTTGTGACTTTTTCAGACTTTTTACAAGTTCAGCTCGTCCTAGCCCGTCCAGTGTAAAACCTCTTCCTCCTTCCTTCGCTGCATCTGTCCATTTATTCCACCATTTATCTCGAAAACCTGCATCCATCCATCCCACCCTCTCTCTATTTTCTCTCGTCCTCCCCCCCTTTCTCTTTCCCTGTCTGCCGCAGCCTTCTACAATGGCTATAATGACACATTTACCAGTCAAATTACTACCTGTCGAGACTGCCAGACCTTGGCACCGAACCCAGAGTCTAAGTGCCAGCCTTTTAAAAAGCCTTAAAAGCCAAGTTGATATTATCCTGACAGCCACTGGGATTACGCCACTTTATAATGCCTCTATCCTCTCACGAAGTCTTGAGTTAAAAGCACCAAAACAATGGGCCCCTATCGGCCAGACGAGGCACAAAGTAGATGCATAAGTCTGGGAGTAAAGCTGAAGAATAAGTATGGGCCAGCAGCATCTATTTTTGGATTTGGTGAAATGTTCCTAACGCTAGCTTTGCATTCTGTGACTGAGACAAGAAGACTGCAGCTTTTGGGCCTGATTTGTTCCTGTGATACTCAGAGCAACTATCCCCTCGCAACCTTTAGACAAACACATTAATGTCTACATTATGGTTATGGAGCTATGCGAGGAATGCTCCTATTTAACCTCTGATTTTAGCAGAGGGGACTTGAAAGAGCCTCTAAATTAGTCATTCACATGCCAGTCAAGAAAAAAAACAAAAACCCTCCTCCTTTGGATCTTTTATGTGTGCAGTGACTCTTTTGGTTGTTGAATAAAGGGAATTAATGTGAAGATAAACAAGTAAAAACTAGTTTAGTGCAAGTTATGTGCTTGCCAGCTGTGAGGTTGGCAAATAAAGAAACAATGGTGACTTGTTACAGCTGGTGGTTAAAAGGCTGAAATAGTCACCCACAGCTTCAAGTTTAAAAAAACAACAACTTTACGACTGTTAAAAAAACTAAATCCAGTCTTTCATGCTGACATAACCTGTTACATACTTGAATCGAACATGCTGGAACATGTTACAACAATCATTTATTGGCTAGCATTAGCATTAGCTCTGGGAGGCTAACCACAGCAGTTCGAAAATCATAATGACCATGCTAGTATGCTAATGTTTAAGAGGTGTAATGTTTACCATGTTCACCGTGTTATTTTAGCATGTTAGCATTCTAAAATGTCATAATTAGCACTGGAAAAAAAAATGTCCGAGGCTGATTCATTTGCGGGTACTTGGTCGCAAACTAAAAACTGGAGTTTCTAGTCTCTCTACTCTTTTCATCTAAATGACAAGGGAAAGAATGGGAAAAATCTACCGGTGCCAACACAAGCCACAGTCTGCAGTTACCATATATGTCCACATACCCTAAAAAAAGGAACAGTGCATTNCTCTTGGCCTCCAGAGGACCACACTGTTCTCTTAAGAGAGGAGAGGAGAGGAGGAGTTACATGACCAGCAGCTATGGAGTCACAGCTGTGCAGGTGTCCAGGTGGAGAGAGGTATTCCAGTAATCTGGAATGTGAAAGCAACACTGGCACAAAGCCTGGCCTTTCTAGTCTTTCCATCAATGGAAGAAAATATTTTGTCCACCTGCTACAGTGGTTGGTATGTTGCGGAACTCATGAACCGCTTCTACTCTTTTACCAGGAGTATGAACTACCTTTGAGATAACACAAGAGACCGATTCAAGTGCTATAGTTCAATGTGCTCTGACTGCTGTAAAATGATTACATGAAAATAAATAATGTCAAATATTATTGCGATAATAGCGAACAGGTTATACATAAGAGAATATCATGGAGGAAAAAGCAGCCGGATTTCAGTATTTTGACATCAGCCGTCTTCACCTATCAATACTTAGGCTGCCAGACTCAAAATGTAGGGCTTCTAGTCAAAAGTTGAAGCGGATCAAAATACAATTGTCTCCACATTCTGACAAAATTGAGGCTTTTATTGTGACAGCAGGATTGCCTGTCTGCAAACACTGTCATGGGTCTGCCAGACTAACTTGACACATGTGAATCACCTCACTTTCACAACAAAAATGACTGCCACAAAACCTCCCTCTGTCTGCTAATAGTCACCTTAAAAGATACTCTGTGGAGTTTTCCTGAAAACAAAGTTCTGTTTACATTCTGTTTTTTTTGTATCCATGAGACCCAAATAATGTGTCGTATTCTGACTATTTGCATTGTTAGCATCCATGTTTGCTAGCTTCCCAGGCTTTTGCAGCTGTCTTCATGGCGTGTTACCACCAAAATGTGTCAGTGAAATAGCGAGAAACTGGAAAAAAAATGTATTGTTCCACCGTGTGCTCATGCATGTATATCATGAATGTATTTTGAAAAAGCTGGATAAAAGAGCTAACCATTCAAACTTGCTGCCATTAAGCCCCAGTGGCTAGCCAAGTTAACAGTAACAAATTGCTAACAAAGTCAATTTTTACGCTTTGTAATTTCTTTGAACCACAAAGATTTAATAGGTCTAAACCT